GAATACATCAGTTCTACAGAATGCCGAACAATAGATGAAGGATATTTAGACAAGCTCCAAAATAGGGTTTCCAGGTTCACCAACTCAGCATTAGCTAAACACCTGCATCTAAGGAACGCGACCATGCAATCACCCGAGATACCAAGGCTATTCGGCTATGCTAAAACCCATAAACCAGGCACGCAAATCCGGCCGATTGTTGACAAATCAAGATCTCCAACCCTACCTATTGAGAAGGGTCTACATGAGCTCCTTAAAGGCCATTTGAAAGATTATAACTACGCCGTTTCGAACACGCGGGAACTCATCACTAAATTGCAGAATATCGCTCTGAAGGATCAGGAATTTATTACAGTTCTCGACTTTGAAGCTATGTATCCTTCCATTAAATTGGAACCGTGCTTCTGTGCCCTTAGAGATTTCCTTTTCCAAGCCTCTCCACCTGGATACCACAAGCAGGTGTTGGAGCTGGCCCACCTTATGTGCTACACCTCATTCTTCACCTTCAACCAACGAATCTATCTTCAAGAAAGGGGAGTACCTATGGGTAGCCCCCTCTCTGGAGACCTCTGCGAATTAATTGTAAGAAAACTGGATAACCAAGTATTACAGTCCTTCAACGCGGAAATCGTTCTCTATACGCGCTATGTTGATGACATTCTTATCATTTGGAAGTCCAACCTGGATCTAAGCACCGTTCTTCAGATTGTGAACAACAACAACCCTTTTGGACTTAAGCTTAAATTAGACCAGCAGGATGACAAGATGGCCCACTTCCTGGACCTCAATATCTTCTTGGATCAAGGCTGCATAACTACAAGTGTGTTCCATAAGCCTAATCTTCAGTCTTTCTTCATCCCTGCAACCTCGAATGACCCCTTTTCTTACAAATGGCCGCTTTCAGGGCTCTTATCCGCAGAGCTTTTACCTATTGCTCTAGCATTAATGACGTGCTACGAGAAATCCAACGCATCAAGCGCATCGCCACAGCCCACAGTTTCAGCAGTAAGTTTATCGATAGGCTTGCGCTAAAAACTCATAGATGCTTAACAACCGGAGATACCTTGTTGCTTTAGGGGTTTAGAATTGGTAAGCGCATTACCGTCGATTTTGACCCTAGAATGAGCCAGGCCTATAACTTCATAGCAAAAAAGGTCAACGCTACTCTCGCATACAGACGCAACCCTACGATTTATAAACTTCTAGCTAACACCAAGGACAAATGCAGCGAAGCCAGGAGACCAGGAGTCTACACCGTCCCATTGGAGGACGGCAGATCTAACCCGTGCAAGAAGCTAACATACATTGGCTCAACCAATAGATCGCTTAAAAGGAGGATAACTGAGCACAAGTACGACGCATACAACAAAAAATTCACTTCCACCCTTGCCCAGTTTGCAAGCGAACCTGGTATAACGACCAAATGGGAAGAGGCGAGGATTACTATTCCTATGCACGACCACACCAAGCTTAGAACAGTCGAAACAATTGAAATATTTAAGCAATCCCTCAAAGACGGTTGTATCAACAGCAGAGATGCGGACTCGCTCTCCTCCGCTTGGAAATCATTCTTCGACAACCCCATGAAATAAATAGACCATCACACCCTCACCGTGTGCAACCGTTAGCGCTTTTTTACTTGTTGCGTTTATTTCCAATTCTACCTTCTAATCGTAATCCCCTTCCCAACCACGGTCATTCGCACGCCTCTTCTTACTGTAGCGTTGAATTTTTTACGGCCTCAACTATGACGTCACTCCCCACTAACCCCCTGTTGAGATTGTGCATCTCCTGTACGTAGCGCGCTTACTCTAAAATCTTTTTCCCCAACTTTAGCAAGTATCCTATCTGCACACCTCCCTTCTTTACCAAAAGTATGTTATTTTTTCCCCCAACTTTAGCAAGTATCCTATCTGCACACCTCCCTTCTTTACCAAAAGTATGTATTTTTCGCCCTCGGTATCGTGTACCTATCATCGACAATGACGTCACTGGTAAGACGATACCTGGGTAAACATTGGCAGCAATTAAACTTCTTCTAACTGACGCTCCACAGTGTACCCGAGGAAGGCCTATTAAGAAGGCCGAAAACGTTTGTACTCCAGTTAATAAGGCTAGAAATTAGTGAGAAAGGTTTAGTGCTGATAATCTTAGAAATAGTTCTAGCTACATATGCATAGTAATTAGAAACAACATATTTATACTTCAAATAATAAGTAGATGTTAGATACAATTTTATTATGGTACAAAATTTTAACTTTATCTGTGGGTTTAGAAAAATTATTAAACTAAATTTTCTGCCTATTAAATATATTTTAAAAATCTAACAAATATAATGAATTAATAATATAAAATTCTATTATGAACTATTCAAAATAGTTTATGGATTTTCAATTTTCAAAAAAATAAAATTGTTACATACGGTATGATATTTCTGTAAATAGTCTCTCTGTGGGCTGTGGTGCGATTTGGGAGTGGACCGACCACTCTGGGGAGGCGAAGAACGCTCCAGGGAACGACCCCTTCCCAGAAGTCCCATCGTTTCCAGGCTGCCGACTCTGGATTCCAACTCCTCGGCCCTCTGTTCCGTACTCTGCTTTTCTTCCTGAATTAACCTATTTTCAAATTAATTACAAATTACAATTTTACAGCATAAATCTAGCCAAATTCATTTATTTTTAACTGCACTGAAATAAAAGTTTCAGTCTAGTCAATCACTTCTTCTACATTGAAAAAATTCACTGGTGAGAGATGAAATTTATATGTATCCAACAATACTTTCAAAAATTTTTATATGGGTAACATTAACTTGAATGGTCTTTGGGCATTGTGTGTCAAAATAATAACATAACATTTTGTTAATAAACCAAACATTTATCTTTATTGGGACATGGATTGTAGAGAAACAAATTAGAACATGATCACTTATAATACTGATGCTAACAACTTTTATAAAACTTAAAATTACTAGAATTTACATGTGATGCAATCTATAAAAGGTACTTGGTGGAAAAATCATTTTTTATTTTTTGAGATCATTTTATTCTACAGACTAAGAGGAATATATAAGAGCGCATCTATAGCTTAAAATGTTGCTAGCAATATTTAGCATTGAAACCTAAAAATCGACAGTTTGCATTGCATGTTTCTACTCAATGGTGAAATTTACTTTTTTGACTTAAGATACCTTTTCATAGATTCCATCAGTGAACACTTGAACAAATTATTATTTACAGGGTCTTCCAAAATAAAAATTACAATAATTTAAAATGGTAACAATGTTAATTATTATCCGAGAGGTATGCAATGTATTGCTAATCAATAGAGTAACCGTCTGAGTTTCGTCTAATAACTACAGTAGAGCATCATTTATCCGAAACGTCGGTTATCCAAAAGAATTCCAGTCAGCCTAAAGTATAATTTTTATTTGTTTTATATTTTTCAATGTATTTATTTCGTTTGTAAAACATAAAGAAATAATTTTTAACGATACAATAGCCACGATTATTATTTAAAAAAGTTTATGTTAGGCTTAACATTGACGAAAATTCAACGCAAAGCGACGCGCAACGGAGAAAAATTTAACATGGGATAGGTTAATATATTTTTTCGTACATAATCGGTTATCCGAACAACGCAGTCCCCAATTGATTCGGATAAACGACGCTCTACTGTATATTCAAAGTTAATCTAAATCTAGGTAGCCCTGTAAATGAAAATAGGAACTCCAGAACTCAGAAAGCATTTTGTGTTCTGCAGATTACTCTTGTTTCACAATGACGAGCTATTACGACTTTGTAATCTGCAGGAGCCAGATAATTGACTTCCTCGGGAGAAGCGACGATAAATATGCCATGGCAAGCATAGGAAGAATTTCAGTATCGACTAAATGCATGCCACATTGATGTAAAACTTGGACAGTTTTCCAATGTATTAATTAATGTACTGTACATTACAATGTTCTGTATTAAATATAAAAATTACCTGATTTCATTATTGATGGCATCTAGTTGTTCTTGAAGCATAAGTGCGAGCGTCTGAGCATCTGTGTGACCGGTCGGAGACAGCATATCCATCGCCTCGAATATGCTCTCATTATCGTCCGTCTGACTACATTCCGTGTCACTGGCGTCGAAAGCCTGTTGTACGTTCGCTATGACATGAGACTGATCTATTTTCTCCCATTCCTGAATACAAATAATAATTATTTAGTACCGTATTATGGCAGTTTGGATTTTAGATAACAGAAATATTTCTATGTTTGTCTGACTTACTTTCTCCGGATCTTCTTCCATGGGTGGTTGGCGTCCTCTATGGTTCCTGTGATTAACAGATGCAGGGGACATGTTAAATCCATATACTCCACAACAAGCATCTGTATTTTCAACAACTCCCATAGAGTTCTTGTTGGGAGAAGTAACCATCGAAATGCATCCTGCCGGCAGACCGGTCCAAGAAGGGGAAGCAGGAGATGGGCGAATAACCGAGCGACTAGATATCATCCAAAAAACATCCAACATGCCCGAGCATCAACATCAGTCGCAAGAGATTGTAAATGGTGAAACATGCCATGAAAAAATGAACAGAAAACAAAAAATAATGTTGATATAATATTAAAAAGAACAAATTAAAAATTATGCGAGGTGTACGCAGCCCGAGGACAGAAATCATATAAATTATGCGGGAACAAACAAAACTCTCTCTCGTAATTTACGTAGCAAAAAATTTGGTCTCTCTAAATAAATGACAAATGAAAACGATGAAAAAAGTGAAATCAGAACATTAAATTTTAAAGAAAAAAATAATAAACAAACCAGCAAAATATTAATAAGCCCATCCGGAATCCAAATGTATCAGAATATTACTTGGAAAAATACAATATAACCTTTATTTGGGATTCAATGGCTCCAGAGACACTAACGTCATGCATAATTCGGTATAAAAATTGATTTATGTTACTTTTATACATGCACATTATTTTCAATTCAGCGATACGAAATTCCAATCAATTACAAATGCATTATCATACAGTATCCAGCTTTTCTTGCAGACATTAGCAGCAAGGATACACTAAATATTCTATTTGTATTACTATACTGTATGATAATAAGCAACAACAATGAATAATTTTCACATAAAAAATCTATGAATGCATGCTGATGAAGACATCACATCATAAATAAAATAACGAATTGCAAATCAAAGGCTCTCTGCTGCAAAAATCAAATGTAACGAAACAGGACGGCAGAGGGAGAAAGTTAAGTAAAAACTGCGATGTGGCATTTCTCAACATTTGCATTCCGTCAAATGCGCATTTTAAGATTTTTACAACTGCGGTGTCAACACCTGATGTTTTCCCTCATAAATAGGAAATTATCAAACTTATTCCACAACTAAATAACTATTCTTATTGCTAAATGTTTCAAATATATAGTGTAGTACAATAGTTATTTGTTTGTTAACAATTACAACAATCTATGAGAGAGAATGATTTTATATATCTTAGTATTCGGAGCACAATTATTTACTTTTAATTTTATGCATTACATTGTTCTATTTCACTAATTTTGGTTGTTTACAATGGTGGTTCTCAAACTTTCTGCATTCTCAGACTGAATTTCTTTTCATTCCAATCCCTTGCAGACTGGTATTTTTGTGTAGTTAAGTAAAAATTGTCATAAAAAGGAAAGAGAATGGAGTTTTTAAAAAGTATTTTAAAACTGAATTAGTAAGAAAAACCAAATGACAAAACTCAGTCCTAATCATTTTGAAAAATGGGTTTGTGGGCCATTTTTGAGTAATTTATCAAGCTGATTTTGATTGCTGACCCCTCTCTGGCACTAAATGTTTAAGTATCTTGTCGTGGTCCATTAACAAACTGTTCACAAACCACAATTTCATTAGCACTGAACCAAAAAGATAAAAGACAGAATGCAATTAATGAAAACATTTATGCCATTTTGATTTGTGTATTACAAATTTTGATTTTTTTTAAAACTTTTAATCAAATTAACATCCCAATTTTGTTATTTATATGAAAAACACATTTACAAATAACAATACTCACACATTAATACTGAAAAATAATGTTTATTTGGACTATACTAGAGATCTAGATGTGAGCATTTTGATACCTTTTATTAACATTCAAAACCACTCCACCAAGAATAACCAGTATACGAGATCCCAAAATTTAATATGCAAATTCTAGAATATTTTAGGTTTAGTTCACATAAAATATTATCTGAGTTTTCATATATAATTCCAGAACTTTCATAAATTCTTGGCAATTGGTTTAGAAATGAAAACTAACCATTAAATGAAAAATATTTTATCATTTTGTATCAAATTATTTCATGAAAATGTAAGCTAGGAAAGAGAAAAATACATAAATGTTTGTTATCGGACGAGCATCTTGGAACACGTTTTTATTTAACGAGTGAACTTAATAAATAAAATCAATTTTATTGCTAAGAAAAATCTATGTACTATAATTTTACAAGTAATATATTGATCTAACACTTCTATAAGTGTCCAATATAAAGTTTTTTAGAAGTGATATACACAATGCAACCTAATTTATGAGTCACATTGTAATACAGTATATCACTCAATATAGAAGAATTTGGTATAACAAGATGCTTAAACTTAATTTATGAAACAAAATATTCTAATCACAAGTACAAGATCAAAATTTCCCTAAATTCCAATTAGCTACCTCATAGATTCCAATTTTCATTTTCTTTGCTTTGTTTACAATGCAAATTTGTTTATTAGGATCAGGCCATTTAAATCCAATGCAACTACAGTGAATTTTCTCTCTGCATTACAAACCCTTCTATCTGCAATTACAATTACATTTTTTCTATTTGTTTTCCACTTATTTACTGTCTCCTAACCATATCTAATAACATGCAAGTATGACAAAGAAAATATGTTTCTTATTAACTCCTTTATGTAGGTGGAAAAAACCAATTAATGCTTTTCATTTATTTAATTTAGAGCAATTGGTTCACAGATAAATGTTTTATAGTACTTATAATCCAATTACGCTATAACATTACTCAATTACTCTATAACATTAAACTGAACATGGTACAAATTTGAACTGTAAGAAATAATGAAAAAAGCTCAACCCTGCTTGTGAGAAGTTTTCGGAAATGGAGTATGTGCATAAATTGAGGTCACATCATATAAAATTTGCAATATCTTAAATCAAAGCAATCATCATCTTGATTTTCTCATCTATGATAAATTAATTGCATTAACCACAATACATCAAATGCACAATGGTCACATAATCAAAATTTTGCCACATTTCTTTACAATTATGAATTTTATTGATAGAAAACAGTGTTCGTAGCAGAAAGCAACCAAAATTAGTGCAAAAGAATAAACTTTTTGGACAAAGTGATGCAGGTCTTATTCCTAACTCAAAATATGGGAAAAACCAAAGTTGGTATTTGGAAAACAAAGTTATCGCAAGAAAAATAAACCATCCGAAAAGCAACGGGTAAGCAAATTTTAACAAAGCTCGTTTAAAAGAATTCTCTCATTCGCAAATGGTTCCTTAAAGCAATCATTTTAATTATAATATAAGGCAGAATTGCATTTCATGGTCTTCAATTAGTAAAATGCTATCATGTCAGACCATATAATAATAATAAATGAGAAGTATTTTAATATAAAAGTTAATTCTATTAATGCTGTTTCCAAATGCACATTTGTCTTGGCACTGAATTAGCATACATGGATCATTTAAAACATGAAATAATTACAGTTAGGGAAAAAACTTTTTAAAAAAAGCAAGATTATCACAACAGCAGCAATTATTTGTCATTACATTTTAAAGAACATACTTTATTGGCAGTTATCAATGTGAAGATTCAAATTTTTAAGTTTTTATATACAAAATATTTATAAATTCTCATAAAGTTTCTAAACATTAATTTGATACTTTTATAAAATAATATATATAGTCTGACAACGTGTCGCACGCAATTTTAATTTTTGTCGCACGTATATACATTATTTATATGCAGGTAAGAAAATATCAAATTTAACAGTAGCAAAAATAATTTGTATATTTTCTTGAATTAAAAATGCACTAATTTAAAACTATTTTTGCATGTTAATATCACCATAAAATAGCCATCCAGATGTAACTACTAAAACTCGTTATATTTTGATTCATTTAAAAAAAAATCAAACATATACAAACAATGCGATAATTAATTTAATTATTCAAATATATTGGCAGATTCTTATTGAGATATGTTAAGGCTAATAAGGAATTAAGTAATTTGGCTAGATGTAGGCAGTTAAACTACCGTTTCGTCTTAAATACATTTTTTCTGATTGTTTCCATTTTCTTCCCAAGCAATTTAAATTAAATTTAACAGACAGTAGCACTCCGACCCACAACTATCACTTACTGTGCAGATGCATTGCCAGTTATTCTACTCTGATACCCTTCTGACCGATGCATACAATTATGTCAAGTTTTACTTATAGATGAAATAATAAAAATTTAATCTAATAATTATAATGCCTATTGGCTTTATTTATAAGCGCAACAGAAAAAACTTTATATTTTGAGAGTTTATCACAACTTTAAAATAATAATCTAGTAATATTTGTGTGTTATTTTATATAGTTACATCAAAGACAGGTATTTGTAGTTATATTAATATGCCAAAATTTATTTATTTACAAAGTGTAGTGCAGTAAATTTACATTAAAATACAAAATGTATTGCAAAATGTTTTGCTAATCAACTTATTTAGCTATGCATTGTTTTATTAACAATGCCTAACTAACTAACTAAATACCTTGTTATTTGTGTGACTATTACTCAACAAATTATTTTGTCCTAAGTAAACAAAGCAATTGTATTTTTGCCTCATCCAAATTGCCGTGGTAACTACTGTGTGTCCAAAAAGTTATTGTTTGGTGAAAAAGGTTTAAGTAAAGTTTTATTAAAGTGAAGTCTTATATACAATATTGCAGTTTCTCCTACAGAAAAAGCCAAAAACATCCCCAGACACCCTAAAATCTGAGGAGTGAGGTCCAAAAACCTACAAGACCAGATACTGTGGGTTATTATGAGATTGGCAAAGGAGTCTTTCCAAAAACTAAAACTTCTGCAAGTGGTAACGTCATCTACCACAAAGTAGAAATGTGGGACGTACAACTTAAAAGTCTTGTATGCAATGCCATATGTATAACCTTACTGCCATTACAAATTTCTCATCTCACATTAATTTTTTGGTACCCTGCATAATTGTATGGAAATATCTATTTTTTAGTTTGGTCAATTTGCTTGTTCAAAATCATAACCAAAGATATTTTCTTATTTTGTCATTACGTTACGGTGGTGGCAAAATTAATTTGACTAATTAACTAATTTGTAATGTGATCCTCACAAATAATGAAGTAATTTTGTAATGTATAAGTATCATCAATGTATATATATATAAAGTTTCATATTAATACTATTATTATTATTATTTTCTAATCAAAATACTGCATGTTTAAAACAAACTTTTTATCATTAAAATATAAATGATTCTTACCTTGCTAGTGTTTCGGCTCTGTAAGTTTGTAAATCCGTTCTGAGAGAGTCCATTTCTGTTCTCATTCTGGCTAACTCGGAAATAATTTTGTCCTAAAATGGAAGAATAACATTAAACTTTATATCGAGCAGATAATATAAATTATCTAAAGTGTTCTTCCCACCAAAATATAAATGCAGACTCACTTTGTTAATACTGAATTTGTAATATTTAAGTTAGATTCTAACTAAACCCTTGTACAAATAAGATTTATTTACTTATTTTTAGTAGAATGTTCTTATAGGACAGGGGTTGGCAACCTTTCAGTGGTGTTGTGCCAAACCTAAGTTATAGTGTTAGTCCATGTGTTGATATGATTCCACCAATTTTGTTATATATATTATCAGAATTGGTCCGGTTATAATGGACTTCATTAAAGTCATTTATAAATAGGTTCTACAAGAATGTCAGTACTAGAAGCATTCTCTGTTAGCAACCATTCCAAAAGTAGGCATAACAAAAAGTGGTTTAGACTCTGATGCTGGTCACCATCGAACTGCCACTGATCCGGTCGGCAATAAGGTAAATGTGAAAGAACATATACTGCTTTGGCAGTAAGCATTTGCTAACAAACTTGGGAAGAGTGATAACCAAAATGAATTAATGAATGCATGTAGTCTCTGTACTTAAGAAATTTTTACATTTATGATTTTGTGAACCATTCAGTCATATGACTTAATATAATTTGTTTCTCACTTTTAAATCAACATTTCTACCAAATTGGTCAATTCTTTTGCCTTTAATAATTATAAAACATAGTTATGTACATCAGAATACTCTCTCCATAGATAAAATGTTAACATGTTTAGTCTTTTCATTATAAAAATAATAAGATTCTAACTTGTAATAATTTAAAATAAACAATTGTCAGTCACTACTGCTTCCCAAATACATCAGAATAGTCATTTAGTTCAAAAGATAATTAATTTCAAATGGATTCCATTTTCTAAAGCTACGTAAGTTAATTAATGCATTAGAAATTTATATGCACCGACCATTTCTTTGATTATAGGATATCGACAAAAATGTTTCGACAGATTAACATATTCTATAAATTTAAGAATAAGATAAAGTAACGACGACGAAAGCATTACATTTTATTTCTGTCACTGAAAATAAGATTTTATTTATTTAATTAACTCAAGAACATTTTTCTACAATGTGAAGAAAAATAATAATAATCTAGCATCTGCTAGTTTAATATAAAGCTTTTAAACTGTAGAATGTAGCTCGATCTATTGACAAAACAAATATTACCATACATTTTAATATTATTATTTGATAAAATGGCTAGGACAGTAAATTTAGAAATTTACAAAAAATTCTCAAAAGAGACGACACATTAAAAGTGTCTTCACGCCTTGTTCTTTTTACACTTTGGGAAATAACAGTCTCACAACAGAGTCGACCTTTCTTTAGAGTCTTCTCGTCCACCTCAATATGTAACGTTACAATCTTCCTTCTGGAGATGACACAATTAAAAGAATAATATATCTGCTGTAAGAGTTACTTCCTGAGGCAAAAAAAGACAAGATGTGAAGACATTTTTAATGTGTTATCTCTTTTGAGAAATTATTATTTATTCTATATTCATATAAACCAAAGACTGCTTTTGATAGCAACATTGCAAATATTAATAACTTACTGAAATTCTCATTTTTTACCTCCTTACTGTCAATTATTTGCATAATAAAAATTCAAAAATTGTTAAAAGTATTTGTATTCTTGAAAATGCTTTAAATGTATTCTCATCATCAAAGAGTTAGTTTTACTTCCAAAAATAGTGGAATGACATTTAATACTTTTAACCCCAATCCTTTGGAATGAACACTTCTCTATCTGGCCTTGATATATGATGGGGGTTTGTTAACTCACAAATGATTATAAAAAGTAAAAGGAGTAGAATAGGAATACGGATGAAACATTTATTTTTTGACATAATCATCTGTAACATTAATACACTTGTCCTGTTGCTTTACTAGTCTCAAAACCCGTAATGTAGAATTCTTGGCTATTTCTTTTGCACCTAATTTTTGATATTTTTATTGTCATTGAAGAAGCATTTGCCTCAGAGACAAATTTTTTAGCAGACCAACTGGAAAGACAAAAGAAGGTTCCGGTTTTTCTCACAAAAAAATGCATGATAGCCTGCTGCTCTATGGGTGTGTATTCTTTGACACAGTCACCGATCACAGGTACATCTACTATTTAGACTACCCAGTGATATGTATCAAAAAATTTATTATTTCTGTTATGGCAGTTCATCTTTTGTTTGAGACTATAACTTTTTGTACTATGTGCAAATAAAATTTAAACTAACTGATGATAATAAAAATAAGGTGTAATAGACTATGTATTATGCTTTTTGTCAATATTAAATACAAAATAAAGAGAAATTTTTGTGTCAAAGCGAAATTCAAGTTCCTTTAAAGATAACAGTGAAAAGTATGAAAAAAGCATTTATCACTGTTAATATGTGCAAGTTTTATAGATTGTTTTCTTAGACCATAAAATAACCTGTGTGCTTTTTATTACTATCTCTATTCTGCTAATCTCCCAATTAATATCCTAAAAGCCAAGAAGTGTCTCGTCCCGAGGATTTCAGATAAAAGATTGTGCATTTGTATTAATTTTGATATTTATTCAAAAAAGATATTAAATCACCTTTTCACCCTGAGTGTCTTCTAAGACTTTACGCGTTCTATCCAATTCCTGGGATAGGGAATTCTTTTCTTCGAGCGCATGCATCCTCTCTTTCAAATGGAGCTGCAGACGCTCGTTCGATTCTGCCAACAGTTTGTCCACAGTGGCCGACAGCCTCTGGTTGTGTTCCTCGTTCATCTTTTCCCGCTGTCTTGACTAAAAAAAAATTAGGAAAAATTTTAATACAAAATAATTTAATTTATGAACAAAAACATATCACAAGGTAAATGTGTAAATAATAGACAACATAAAGAAAATCATAAACACACAACAGAAGAAATTATTTAAAAACTTGTCTTTGTCAAAAAAACATTTGATACTGACACACGTCAAACATTACATCTGGTAGAGAAATATTTTTTGTTTATCCAAATCTAATTATATAAAAAATACAAAGTAGATAATATGCACAGAAAAATTATCTCCAAATTAATTATTTGAAAAAGAAGAGATTAAAAATGCAATCGATATGAACAAATTAAGAAAACTTTTAATTATGCAGTAACGGAATTTAACACAAAGGACTAATTAATCAAAGATGGACACAATGGTGATTAATTGGAACAGAATTATATGGAAAAGAGTATTAATTTGCTAAATGAAATGTATTTGCATAACTGTTTTTCAAACAATTTTTGAAAAATTTACAGAAACTATAATGAAATAGTATGTAATTAAGAGAAAAACTCTTATAAAAACATCCTTTTAGATTTGAAATTTCGTTAACTGATGCCATTGCTTACCCTACAAAAATATCTTTCGGTTGCAGTGGCTCAAACCTATTATACAGCAACTATATTACTTTCCTGGCTGTTATAACACAACATGGGAAGGTATTGTAATTGTGTCAAACTTGACCATTTGTTTTTTTTTCCAAATGTTGACATTTTGAGAGCCCCAAACCAAACAAATGTCAAAAAATGGGATGTGTATGTGTATGTGTGTCTATTTTGTTTAATATCTAAGGATGGGTAAAGATTAAAAAACAATATTTGGCACGGTAACTTGTATATAAAGAGCATCGATGCTATTAAATTTTTGAGTACAGAAATGGACAGAGTGGGGAGATAGAGGGGATTGATCACCCACAAAATAAAATGTCTTTTTAATAGTAATTTATTAAAAAATAACATTTGTATTATTATGTCTCATAGATTACATTCCTCTAGTGACAAATTATTTTGTAATTAATTAAATATTATAGTGGATAAGTAGCCTGATGTAATCTGGTAGATTTACAAATTTATCGGGTTTTGTGAAGTTTGTTTATGAACATCTCATAATAGATAATGCCACACAATTTTATTTTAAATAGTTACTAGCTAAAATAAATAAAAATATGCATCTAGAATATTTAGATTTTAGTCCAGAAAATTTTTCTTAAGAAGTGGGAGATGAAACCTGGAGCAACATAACTTTTACCAAACAGAGCATGTTATTGGAGTTTTTTCATATAATTCCATCACTATGTATTTGATACGATATTTTTTTTTTAAAGACAGCCATTCAAAACGGCCGAAAACATTTGTTCTTATGGATTAAAATTGCTAGAAACAAAGTGTGAAAGGTTTCCTCTCTCTTTATTTGATTCAATAACTTCTGCATTACAATCTTTGATGGAACTTGAAAACAACCCATTGAAATTCATTATTTTATGCTATTGTAATTGAAATTTTACAGAATTTAAATTAAGTTTTAAAAAAATGTTTGTATTTTTATATTCTTATTAATTTGTTTAGGGTTTAAATGTAAAGTTTCAGTATGAAGTAAGAACTATCAAATGTAAATCGTTCAATATACAAAAGAAATTACAAATGGATAAAGATAAACTGTTAGATATAGCGTCAAAATTCTCAATTTTCCATACTGGTAAACTGTTATTTAAAAAGTAAATGTTTTTAATCACGTCAGAATTTTCCAACTTCCTCGTGGACGTAATTATCTCTAGTGCGAAACAATTCGGTCAATTCGCATCAACAGGCTATTAATATTTTAATGGGAGGGCAATTAACATTATCTCTATAATTAATACAAAGTCTAATAATCATTAGTATAAAAATTAAATGTGGGAAATTAGAGCATTCAAAGGTAAATCCCGTAATTTAATGGATTAATCAATACGCAATTAAATAACTCGACTCGCAATGTGCGGAACTACCCGTATTAATAATTTAACTCTACTATCATAAATGCATTTTAAACTATTTGATGTGAATTTAAAAACACTTTCCTTTTTAAAAATTGCATTATGCTCATTGAAACTATATTTTAAGTGAAAAAAATCAATTAGCTAACAGTATTTTAACATTAAATTAGGGATATTTACAACAATATGATATTTAAATTAATATATGAAAGTAGAAATTTGGCCAATAAAATAGTCATTTTAAACAGAATTTGCCTTTACTTACTCTCGCTAATTCGGTACTCTTCTCCTCGAGTTGTGTCTCTAGCCTCTGTATCCTGTCTTCTACGGAGACGTGTCTTTCCTATTAAACGAAACTTTGTTACATTCTTTCTGACATAAAATATAATAATTCTTGTGTGTTATATATAATAGCTGCATGTGAGACTGACAAAATATTACTATATTTATTTTTCATAAAATTTGAAATAGTAATCTTTTTTAGCATTGTTCCTTCTTAGCTGTGCAACTGCACAGTAATTAAGGTAGTGGACATTAACATTTTTGTAATTATAAATTGTAATAAATGTTTTTTCTTTATTGATGGTCCTTCTAAGTTGTGCCATCACCATTTGCCTGTGCAATTGATCTGGGTGATCAAACTACTGGTCAAAAATTGTCCTTCTTGCTGGACCAACTCCAAACTTAGAAGAAACACCGTTCATTATCCCATATAAATAAATAAATTTTAACTCAGAAACAATCTGTCATTGTCCTTGTTAAAAATGAGTATTATTGAATGTAAATTTTAGTCTTTGAAGAAGAAATTTTGACATGTTTACACAATTTTGTTATTATTCAAACTTCCATTCTGTATCCTAAGGAAGACTGTATATTATGTCACTTTGTTATACATTTAAATTCAAATCAAAGAATCATTGTGCTTATGTAAATAATTATGAATAAAAATAAGATATTTTATCTAAAATATTAATTTCTTCACAGATTTTATTTCTTTGGGAGTAATAAGCATTGACAGATTAAACTGAACAGTTTAACCTTTCTTATTTTCTGACTTTTGAAGGACCGTTCACATAAAAATAATCTAGGCAGACGAAAATCTCTGCTGCAAAATCCAAACTAGAATTGCAAGCCTTTAAAGATGAAACTCACCTGGGATAAGGCATCCATTCTCTGCATCTCGCCGTCGGCACCCGGAAGCGTTTCCACCTTACGTGAAAACTCCGCCAACTTCTGCTCGGCAAGTTCTAATCGTTCTTGGAGAGCACGAACTTTTTCTTCACTCTTTTAAACAAAAGACATTTAATAACCCGAATGCTATTATCAAAAGGAGATTATAATATTTAAAAGTAACAAAAAATTACAGTTTTCAAAATATAATATTAGATATAAAGCTAAAAAATTAATTAAAATATATTTTTATTATAATGCTTAAAAAAAATCACCAATAAAAATAATAATTGCAAATTATAACATGAACCAAAATAACATAACCGACCAAATTATTTATAAATGATGGGCCATCATTTTTTTAAATAAAAACTCTCTGAAAATAAAAAAATATTTTTGAAGTTGAAATATAATTTTAGCCAAACTCTTCTGTTTTTTAGAATATTTTTTATAGGTGTTAAAAAATTAAATTAAAATAAAAAGCAATTAAATATAGACAATATAATGATATAGTATTCTTTGAATACTAAAGAAATGAATATTGACCTTTAATCGTACAACAAATAAAGCTTTGTATTATTATCTTATAACTTCTTACTAGTTTTAATTGAGCTTCTTTATTAGAAAGCTCCTGTTCTAATTTCTCGTTGAGGTCGTGCAGCGAAGTCGATTCTCTTTGAGCGTTGAGGTACCGTTTTTCCAGAGTCGATATCCTTTCTTCCTGGTCTTCTTTCTGTGCGTTATTCTGAAATGATCAAACAACTTGTTAAAATTTTATTCTGCCGTCAACTTGAAAATAGTTACGTTTTGATTTTGCGGTCGAAAACCAAAACGGAAAATAATTTTCAAGGTCCGATCGGTATTGCCATGGAAATTTTCAAATCAGATCGCTACTCGCCTCTTTCAGATCTCTTGCGAGTCGTGCATTCTCTTGCTGAAGTCTGGATACCTCCTTCTGAGCGGAAGAGAGTCCGTCTTCCAGCTCTCTGATCTTGTTGCCCAGTTCTACGATCTTGCTCCGGGACGTGCTCAGTTCCGACGTCTGCTTCTCGAGCGCCTCCTGGAGTTCGACGACCCGGGAGGCCTCCGCGGCAGCCTCGGCCGAACCGTTCGAAACCTAGAAATTTGAACACAACATTTTACAAGGAGCAAAATATTCAACATCTGTAACAAACAAAGTACATTTTAATTTGTCTGTTATAATTAAATATTGAGTTTAGTATAAATTGAAGTTGGTAAAACAAAATAAACTGCCAATTAATCTAATGCCACAAATAAGTTAAAACATTTTGAGTTTACATTTTTTATAACAATAATTTTATCTGTTTTCACATCCTAGGAACAATACGACAGCTTTTCATCACAGGTTATGTGACCATTAAAAAGTGATAAAAATTGCAATAGGAAAAACGGGAACAAGTTTTAAAAAGAATGAAGACAAATAGCATCTTTGTAAATTTATTCTTAGATCTCAGAACATACTTTCGTCTTCTAACGACCTTCTTATTGAGTAAAGAAGCGCCCTCGATAAAAAGTTGTCCGCCAAAAGAATTTTTCTTATGTACACTTCATTGCCAGAGGATATTTTAGCACTTTGCACACCCAAAAATTACTTATCCAGATTAAAAGTTCACCAGAAAGTGGAAGCGAAGTGTGTTTGGAAGACGTAATGACAAATTTAATATAAGTAGCCTTTGACAGAAAAATTTCATTTCAGAAAGTTATAAAAAATAACACATTCTTTAAAGAATTATAAAACTTTTTAAATGAAAAAAAGAATACAAATGCCATTATATTAAATTTGTCATTACATCTTCCAAACTTCATTACGTCTTCATTACGATGCCCTCGTCACACTGTGGACATCCACAAAAAATTTTCCGGGACAGGCAGAGCTTGGAGATGAATAATTACATCAATAAATTTTTATTTAATAAAATTTTTTGATTTTTTTTTCCACAAGTAGATTATAGAATCCAGCATCTCATCATCGAGGGTAAAGTTACGTATCTCAATCACTTTTACGATTATAATTTGCAGAATATTTTATTTGAAACCAGGAGAGGGCAAATGCCCCATCTGCCTCCTTTGTGGATGCCATGCATCAAACTGTTCCTGGAATGCGAAGAACTAAAAAGACATTCAAATTTTAGTGTGACTTAGCCATTAAAGAATCCTTCTAAATTAGAAAATATTTAAAGTTCTCTTGCTAAACTATTTTGTCAGTATAAAAAAATTATTAAAATATAATTTCTAAGTACAATTTATGCTAATTACTAGAGCCATACTAATTACATGCAAAATCAAATCCGATAAATCTTGCTAATCAAATCGTATGGCCGGATTCTTATTGTGTTTCGGTACAACTAAGTAATCAATCGATAATTAATCCGAGATTGCTTCCGAGTTGTTGTCGTCGTCTTTGCATACAAAACAATATCAATTACTAAGAATACTTCAAAGATGTTGCAATGTATAAGAGACTTGGTAATTTTAACTTTTTAAAATAATATACTGAATTGAAACAAAAGATTTTTATATCAGGAGCTTTCGGATGACATATTCAAGTATTAAATTTAAAATGTACTTAATAAGAAAAAGCTACAGATTTTAGAATTTAGAATGAGATTAATCTGAATGCAGTTTTAATTCAAAACTATTTTGTAAATTTTTCATTCTCACTAAAGCAGAAATGCATGTATCGATCGACAAATGAATGGTAAACCGGTATTTAGCAAATCATATTTTCCAATGTAGAACTCTAACGCAAATTGCCTCACCTTTGCGGCATCGTCGTCTGGCTTCTTCTCTTCCGATTGGACCCTCTGTATCCTTTTTGTTTTGTATTGTGTTAACTGAAAGAATAAAAAATAGACATCAATACTCGCAACATAATAATTTCTCACATTTTATGCCAACACAAAGACAGGGTCAAATTGAACAAAAATTGTAAATTTTCAATTTATTAAATTTACTCAATGTTTAGAAGGATATACAGATTGTTAATTATTACCAGAAACAAATTTTTTTACAATATCATTATAAATGTGACAAAATAATTTAGATAAACTGAAAACAATCAAAAGAAGTGATCAAATTCTAAATATCAGTGTCACTTCAAGCCTGGTCATTTATTTATTGATAGGAATAAGCTGTCCACAACTGCAACTTACAACATAGTCGATCGAAATCTTTCAAACAAGGAACATTGCAATCAAAATAACTTCTCAGAAGAATTTTCAAATGTAAATACTATATTTAACAAAAATAACACCAGTAATCCATCAAAAAAAGAGAATTTAATAAATAAATGAACCTTTTCTAATGTTTTTAATGGCCATTGTTGGGATATATAATTAAAAATCAAACAAAGAACATTACAATCATTGCATTCCATCAGTTTTAAATCATCTGTAATGCTTGTTCTTTCTTTGATTTCTAATTGTACAATCCGACAATGGCCATTAAAAACAGTAGAAACTTTACGCTATTTAAACTATATGATCTAAACTCTTACTTTTAGTCGAATCGTGATGTCCCAAAAACAAGATTAACCAGGAAATTACTAGAATCATTGAATTTTAACCAAAGAAGCTTGCTTTCGATATTAAATATCCTTATATAAAAAAATATTTTTTTTAATATAAATGACAATGGTATGTTGTAAAGTATGTAGCATATTGTCTATACAATTCCAATACTCTCTCAATGCTAACTTCTAATAGATAATTTTTGTTGTTTATTATTCTTATATTAAATAGTAATAAAAACCATGGAATTACTCCTAAATTACAACTTTTTCAATTTATATTACAAAATTTTATTTTTTAAATGTTTTTTCTAGAAATCAAAGTTTTCTACTAAATTAGATAATCCTCGCCATCTCTTGGGATTCTCCGAATGCGATAGAAGTACTTTTACATTCGGTGGCCGAATCTAAAAATTTGATTCTCGACTTTTCAAAAGTTTCTGTTGACGACGAACTCGTGCATTTATTTAATTAAATAGTCTTTTATCAAATCTTCTTAATTATGAGCTTAACTGTTAAAATAAAAATGTGTTTAATTTAAAATATTTATAAACTCTTAATTTATATAATTATTTAATTATAAACTTCAATTTACTAATTCTCTGAATTAACAAATTGGATAATGTTTTACAATATTTGTTTTAATATAAACTGTAAGTATATAATTTATATATTTAAAAGAGGAAGAAAGAAAGGCACTGGTAACATTAAGTACAGTAAAAAGTCTTCCAAGAAGAATGTAACCATATAAAATTTTTGTAATTGTCATCAGATAACACTGTAATGCATTTTAAAACATGTCCATTACAATTTCTCAATGTGTTCACCTCGAGTCACATGCCACACTTTGGCCGGAGAGCCAGTATTGAAATTCCTCCTACACTTGCTACGACATATCCATCGTCACTCCTCCTACAATATCTGTAATTCTACGGCTCCCGAAGATTACATGTGTTATGCAATGATGAGCAATTCCGACTTTGCAAACTGCAAAATGCAAATGCCTTCTGTGTTGTGATGTTGCCATTTTTGTTTACGGCACTTCCTACAGATAGTAGATGACAAGACATTCAAATGCAGACCGTTACTCTACCAATTAGTGTATGTCACAAACTTCTCAGACAACATTTAACATGATTACAGTAATTTAAAATGGTAACATTTAGAAAATGGCTATATAAATACCATAAAATTTTGTAATATAACAATATTTTCATATAAGAAATATTACCAAACAACTGGAAACAAGTAACGTTGTGGGTGAATGGCGAACCACTCATGAACTTTACTGCCTAAACTTGTTGCAGACGCAGGACAAAATAGTTTGTTTACTCGAGATAAGTGGCACATAAAAAAACATTCATCCTTATATACAACATATAATTGCAATTTAGAAAAAAATAACTAGGTTGAGCTGTGGACTACCCAACACAAGCTTGTAGACTACTAATGGTCCATGGATTGTACTTAAAGATCTGATCTATTGCTATTAAGTTTCGTATACATTTCCAGCATTCTATATTTTCTAATCCCTAACAAATGCAAAATTAAATTGTTTGCCAGCAAGTTTATATCTAGGAGTGAAATGATTATAACGCTCATTTTGGTCTGTTATGACGTGCTCGTATATATGAATAGAACAAAACATTGTTTTTTTATATTTTTACTTGGAAGTATAATAAATACTACACTTCATCTTTATCGATATATTTATTTTGCAAATTAATTTAATTCTTGTGAGTAAATTTTTCACAACTACAGAGATTTAATTATGCATTTCCATTCTTCTCTTTACCCTTTGATTTATAAAACACGTAAGTATATTGACAGTTACCCATTATTTTATTTTTTAAAAGAGGCATGTCCGAGCTGTTAGTAGTTAAATAGTCGATCCGATGAACCGTTTCGTGTCAAATAGACCAGATTCTTGGATTCTTACTTGTCGTCTACATGCAGTTAATATAATACTAATTTTTTAACTGCAAACAAGAAGAAGTAATTATTAATTACATTTATCTAATACAGTCGTAACAGTTTGATGCCATTCCAATTATTTATTAACTTTACCAGAAACGTTCATAAAAATTGAAACAAAATATTAGAAAAAAGTAAAATGTTACATCACATTAAATGAATTAATAAAATTCCAATTCTGTGGATGGGAAGATAATTCGAAATAAGACGTCTCGATCGTACGCCAAATTGCAATTCCCTCCGTCTCGCAGTCGTCCGACTTCGAAGAGAGAGGGCGAATCCGGTGCCGGAAGGACGAAATTTCCCATCCCTTCAATAATAATACCGAAATTTTGCCATTAAACTTTCCATAAATTTATACGCACAAAATTTCTTATTAAGGCTTAATTCGCCTGCCTTCCTCCAGTTTGAAAATTAAAGAAAAAAACGGAGCATAATTACGTACGAAAGCAATTTCTGACAAATTGAGTTTATATTGATTTTTAAAACATTTCAATTATCTTTATAATAGTTTAATTTTTTTAAATTAATGTTGAATCATATTATTTAATGTATTTTTTAAAGTAATTATAGATTCGGTAACTTTTGTTAATTACTAAACAAATGCATCAATTTTTATTTAATCAAGAAAATAAATTAAATACAGTCATTGACATTTTTAAAAGCAGAAATTTTGGAAATGGATTTGTGTTTATCATTAAAAACACGAGGACAATGATCAAAATTTGGATACGTATTATGCAAAAATTAAGAAGCGTCTACATCTAGTAATACAAGAAATCTTAATAATGCATTCGATGCCTACGTAACTGATTTACCTGTGCAATTTGCAAAAATTATTTAAATTATTCTTGAATATCATCAAAAATCAATTGATTAATGAATGTTTTGATTTTATTTTTTCAATTATGAAGTAAGCAACGCAAATTTTATTCAGATGTAAACCTGAATTTGCTACCATATGAATATTATTGTAGCTCAGATGGTTCTCCACCGTGTTCTACAGAACCTACGTAGGTGTTCCACAAAAAAGATTTAAAGTTTTTATTGTAAATTTATTCCAATGTACTACAACATATTACCTTATTCATAGACAATTCCACATTCCTATTTTATTCAATACAATAAAGTTTATCAGTTTATTGCTTTATTGTTTTGTAAAAACAGTAAAAATAAAATTGCTTATCGATCTTTGAATATATTGATGCTAATGCTCTGCACAATAAAACGTACACAGATGGTATTCTGCGACCTCGAAAAGATAGAAAACCACCACCGTAACCAATACTGAAATACTATAACCGTTTCACAAATCATGACCAAGAAATTCCTCGGATCTCGTATGGCACCTCTGCCTAAAGTTTTCTCCGAATGGGAAAAAATGTACATTATGCACAATTATTATTAACAATAAAACATTACCTT